CATTTTTCTGCTGAGACAAAAGTGTGAACTAACTACCTGGTATTTTCCTGTCTTCCGGTTCTCTCAAGTGGCATTTCGCATTCAGTGACTTCAGATATGCAGACCATAGAGCAGGAGTCTCCCACGCTGGCCAAGCCGAGAAAAAAGTATCAGGAGGACAGTGACGATTCCTATCTGACCTCCAGCTCCAGGTAAATCTGTTAGAACCGTCAGCGGCGTGTCATTTTTTTTTTTATTTATTTTTTCTTTTTTTTAGTGGAACCGGAGATTGAACTCAGGCCCTTGCACTTGCCAGGCAAGCGCTTATTCCACTGAGCCATCTCCCCGGCCCCCGGCGTGTCATTTTGGAAAGCAGCCTCCCGCATGGGTTTACACAGAACCGCAGGCTGCCTACTTCGTTGTCCTAAAAGGCTTTGGCGGGCACCAAGCCGTGCCTGGGGTGAAGACGGACGCGTGGCTGTGTTTGACAGGAGTCGGGTCAGGAGGGAGGAGAGGCGGAGGCGGGCAGGGAGGGAGTGCTGGGCCTCAGCCCTGCAGGCAGCTGTGCACCCCGCTCCCCAGGCCCTGCCTGAGCAGGAGGGAAGAGGCTCCTGGGGCACGCGTGTGGATTGATGGAATGGCCTGCCTGCGACCCCATCCTCAGCACACCCTGACTGATGGGAGGGTGCACATGCTCAGGTTCCTTTCGACAGTCTTTTGGGGTTTGTTTTTTATCCTATGAAAAAGATTTATTTATTAATTGGATACAGGGGCTTACTATGGAGCTTGGACTCATAGTGATCCTCCTGCCTCAGCCTCCCCAGCGCTAGAATTATAAGCATGCTTTACCATGGCATTTCAGTGGCTGACTCAGTGCGCCCAAGGTTCCAGGCCCGGCACAGCATGGCTTGGGTACCAGGGATCGAACCTGAGTCGTTGCACTTGCCAGGCAGGTGCTTAGATCACCGAGCTATCTCCTCAGCCCTCTTCAGGCAGTGTTTGGCGTGTGTGTGTGTGTGTGTGTGCGCGCGCACGCATGCACGCGTGTGCACTGCTTCACAGGAGGCTCATCAAGGGCGTCTCTGAGGGCGCCAGAGCTGCATGGCAGCCATACAGGCCTCGGGGCTCTGCCGTCTGACGAGAAGTATGTGTTTTTATGGGGAGAGCTATAAATACATCTTTTCTCGAATCTAATTGTGAAACCGTTTCCTTTCCTATCGAAGTGAAGGAATTGTGTAGAAATCTTTAAAGTTTTCTGGAAGCACAGCTGCAATTTTTTTTTTTTTTTTTTTTTTTTTTTTTTTTTTTTTTTTTTTTTTTCAGTACTAGGGGTTGACTTCAGGCCCTTGCGCTTGCCAGGCAAGCTCTTATTCCACTGAGCCATCTCCCCGGAGCCATCTCCCCGGCCGCCCTGCAAATTATTTTGAGTGCTGGTATTTTGCAAGATGAGGAGCAGCTCTGTGGCACCCTGGAGCAGTGCCCTCGGGACGGGGATTGCTATTGCGTGGGTTTCTCACTGCCTGTCCTGTAGACCCTGAACAGTGTGCCCACCACTTTCCGGGTTCTGGCGGGGTTATTTCTACTCTGTACCTTTTAAAAGCAAGTAAGCACATCTCATACAGGCTCAAGTTAACTTTGTAAGTTGGTTTGAAAGTGATGCATGTCGGGTCATTTCAGATACCGGATCTCCAGTGACAGATGCATCCCACTCAGCGTTCCCCTGGGGCGTTCGTCTCCTTGGTGATTTCACTGCTGGTCTCTAGGCCTGGGAGGAGGGACTCAAGCGAGGCCATCTGCTGAACCGGGACTTCAAGGTCCTCGTGTGCCCAGGTCCTGGGCCAGCTTGTGCCAGGCCTGCTGTCTGCCTCATAGGCGTCCAGGGGTGCTTCTCCAAAGCTTTAAAAGGCACAGCTGGCCGCAGGGGCCTGCCCTGCTGTAGCGCAGTTCCTTCGGTGGAAATCGGGGCTGAATCCTGCCTTGCTGTTAGCAGCTGCAGGGCTGCCAGAGACCCGGCCCTGGCTATCGTGACCTGCAGGCGCCTGGGCCCTCCATGCTGCTCTGGGCCTCCTTGTCCAGTCACCAGCCACTCTTGTCACTGGTGCCTTTGGCACCTGAGATGAAATGGACATAATTCTCTGAAACTAGCATGTCAATGCCCCGAAGCACTTTCATTGCTCCCGAACTACACTACCCATGAGGCCTTGCATATTATGAGTTATGGGAGAGTGAGTACCGCTTCCATTAAAAAGAAGGCCAA